TAGTCCTTCTAGTCTGTGGCATTAACAACTGGTTCTGAAATCATGAAATTGGCCTCATAGTCCTGAGATTTTTCTAAAAATAAGAACAATTACACATCTAATATTTTCATTCAATTTCTTGAACGTCTGCAGGGCATACAGATCTGTTTCAGGCGTTCTTCTCCAAATGAGAGACTTATTGATGTATTTTGACAAAAATAATTAAGCCACAGGTCTCACATGATCACCCAATTCCAGGATTTGGGACTGGCTTTAAGAGCAATAACAATATAACAAAGCTCTGAGATTTGGCTACAGTAAAGTGCTACTTTAAGTAGCACAGCAAGGAGTTTTCACAAAACCTGCTATTCTCTTCTCCTGAACTTCCCGTGCCAGAGGGAGCATGTGTAGAGGCAGAGGGATGAATTCAAAGAAAGAAAAAGCTGAAGATATAGAAAATATATTGCTTTTGTTTTCTAGTTTGAACAAAATTATCTTTTGCCTTATCTGAGAGGGGGGAACTAACAGCACTTAGAAACAAGCTTTTTAAAGTGTTTTTTGCAGAAAATGTTTGCATTTTAATCTTAAAATAAATATACCAAGCTGACTGGCTCTTTGAAAAAGTGTTTGATTTACAAATTTTGAAAACAGGAGTAGCAGGAAGAATAGAAAGATTTTGCAAGAGGAAGCTAAACTGTAAATAAATAAAACTATGACTATTCATCACAAGTATGAATAGGTGTTTTTTAAAAACTAGTAATATAGATATGTTTTTTAATATAGAGTAGTTACTAGATAGTGTGTCTCCAGTTGACTCCTAAAACAGTAAGTGCAACAACACACACATTTTATGTGGTACACAGACATGAAGTCTGTGCTTAAATGGATCTATAATGAATACTAATTTAGATGCCATAAAAAACAAGCCCACAAATTCAGTCACAGATATAACCCAATGGAGAAATTATTAAGAGATAAAAAGAGAGCATATGATGTGACACAGTCTAGGAAGGACATGGGCCCTTATATCACGGAACTGTTCATGCATCTTGTGAGCTTGGGAAAGAGTAAAATTACATGGACTTCTGCACTGACTGCTGACTTGTTCACCTGTGGCAAAGCCAACAGAAGCAGCTTAGAGAGTGGTGGACTGTAAGTAGGAATAGTGCTGGTTTGAGTTGTAGGCTTTGGGGCAGGGGGGTGGGATTTTCAGCATCTGTAAAAGTTTTGTCCGGTGTAGGTGCTGCATTCATCTCAGTGATTTATTTGACATTAGGAACTGGAAATTCTACCTGGTGTAATGTTTAATATTTTTATTTTGTCTTCATAGATGAATTGATTTCTTGGGAATTGTTCTATAAGAGGGGATTTGGGGTCTGCATATCTTAAAACCCAAGAGAGCAAGGAAGTGAAAAGGCTGGAGGTTCAGCTCTCTATTCCCACAGACCCAGCCAGAGCCCTGTATTTTCAACATTTGAACTAGCCTATGCAGAATTATCCTTTGCAATCAAACCTTTTATTTCTTTCAGAAAAATGATGCTTGTGTCTTTTCTAAATTTACTTTGAAAACAGGGTCCCAGTGTAATTCTGCCTGCAGCCAAGTCCCTTGGAGGGCTGCATTGCCCTTTAGGTCTCAGAGGTCCTTTCTAACGCTGCTGATTTATAAGACATCATTATGAGTAACTGTCGTAAGCTTGAGCTGAAATACACAGCTAATGTGTCTGTTCCATAGTGTGACATCCTAAATCAAGACCTTTGCCTCCGTGGATGTGAAAGGCCCAATGTTTTCCTTCTCTGTGAGTTTCTGAATTCAGCCCTTCTACCTCACTGTTAAAATCCCCTTGATAATTTCTGCATTGCTCATTGCTGCTTACTTAATATCTATTAAAGAGTAAAGCCATGACAGAATTTGCAGTCCGATGGATGAGGTGCCAGCAGCCCCTCCAACACCACGCATGGGCTGCCCTGGGCAGGGGTGGCAGGGCAAGGGGCAGCACTGGCTTTGCTTACCTACATGGCCTCGCCGTCTTGGAAGTGCCATGGTAACCGTGGTTTTGGAGGAAGACACTAATTAGTCATAAATGAGCAAGCCAAATCAGAGCCTGGTTGACATTGTCATTTGGTTCAGCTGCAGCAGTGTGTGAGCAAGTGTAAATTTGAGGTTTGTACTTGAGGGACTTTTACTCTAAATGAAAACAATTGATGGTAAGGGCAGTTTAGTAAAGCCAAGTAATTATCTGATAAACAAAGTCCTTGTAGAAGCGTATAAAGATTACATTGTCCCTTCTGATTTCTAAACCCTTGTCATAAATGCATTAAATGTGACAGATCTTGCATTACTGTCATGATCTCAGAAAGCAGTCATTGCTCAACTGCCTTATGGGATTTCATTACGGATCTCACATAAACTTTTGAAAAAACACCTAAGTGCCTGATTTTCTAAGGTGCAAAATATCCTAGGATAGAAAAGTACCTATTACAGATGTTTGTAAAGGAAGTTACGTGCCCAAAGTAATTTACTAATTTAAGGCAAAAAAATCTCATTCATTTTGATACTTGGCTATTTTGTTAGGTGATTTTCCATTTCCTGATTGCTGTATTAATCCTAACTTATGAAGATTTAAATTATTCTAGAATAACATTTGCTGCATCTTGCCATGAGCGTACTTTTCCAAATGCAGTGATCAAAGAATCTGTGAAGTGTTTCAGTCTGCCAGCTTGACAGTAGTGAAAAAATAAAGTACTTGGTGGTGATGGAGAGTGTCACCCAGAGCTGTGAAAGGGTAGTGCCTCGCCTGCTGTGGTAGCTGATCTCACAAGTTCAGAGGCCAGTCCTCTCATGATGCAGTGAAAAAGAAAAACCACGCATTACTGTTTGCCATGCTGTAGCTGTGGATGAAAAGAAAACTTGAGCCTTTAGGACTGGCAATAACACCACTTTTATTAAGTTTCTATTGAAAGACTATTTTGAGTAAGATGAATTGATGGGCTGAACACAATAACCTTCAGTATCTCACTTTCAAATACTTAGTAGGCAAGCAGTAGTGGATAAGAGAAGAAATTAAGCTAAGATGTAGAAAAAAGGTTACTTGGCAACATCATAGTGTTTGTAAAGAGGAGGAAGAAGGGTCAGGAACGTAATGAATTTCGATTATAGAATTTACTGTAAGCCAGTCATTGCATGAATAGAAAAATCCTAAACCAGATTCTGGTGTCATACTCTAATAGGATTGCCTAAAGCAAAACAGGGCTTGTTTGGAAACAAACTGCAGAGAATAGCAAAAGCAGAGCTGCTGTGTACAAACAAAACTGGACTCCCCAGAGGCAGACAGGGCTGAACATAGCTCAGGCAGAGACAATCTGAACAAGGTATGTGGTACTGATGAAAGTCGGTGTTGTTTTGTGTATTATCTGGAGTACATACTTGGAAGCGTGGAAATGTTGATTCGGAGACCCCCATGTTTACTGTGTGACGTACTATTTAAAAAGTTTCCTCTTACCTTCAGTAATTGGGAGGAAGACATCAAATACAAAACCACTGTGGCCTAGATTAGTAAATACTAATTTAGTTTACTAGAAATAGTAAATACAGTTCAGTAAATAAAGGAATACTTCAAAAGTCTATAGGATTTGTGCTTTATTTTCTATTACTGATCATGCATCTCATTACAACTATGGAGATTTCAGAAAAACAGATTCACAGTGATGTGTGCTAGTTGCTTGTTTTTCTTTCTATTCAGTGTGGAGAGCAAACCTAATAAACCCTGCTTAATTTCTTTTTCCTTTCAGGCACTGATTTTTGAACATCTGTTGTGCCAGTTTGTCCCAATAAGTCTTAGAACAGCATTATTTTGGATGCTTTAAAATATTTAGAGCTTGGTTTCACTGCTCTGATGATTTGAGATGTAAGTGGACTAATATTCTGACATAACTCCTCCTTACCTCAAAATTTCTAGCTGAAGCTAAGCTCTAACCATGATCAAAGTGGCACATCAATGGAATGGATTGATGTTTGGTGGAGTTGGGATGGGGTTTTCTGTTTTGTTAATCCAGATGCTGTGCTATTCAAATATTGAGCTAATCAAATTATGGTAACTCTGTGGAGAAATATTTATTGCCATTCCAAAGTAGGCAATGGATTGCTTTTTGTATTTTAAGTTGTATTTTTGTATTTTAGAACTTGCAACCACTAAGTATGCATAAAGCACTTCTCTTCCCTATCTTTTTCTCTGTTCTACTGAAATTTAAAAAACAAACCCCAAAGCACCTCAAAACCAAACTTATATGCTGGGTCACATGTAGTTGATAAGATCAAATTAACAAATGTAGCTTATAAATTGAACTAAATTTTTAACATAATTGGCTATACAAAAATGTTTTATTTATGGTTCCTTAGTGCTCTACCACATCAGTTCCTGACTTCATAGATTTGGGAAGATGAGCTCAGGATTTTGCATGAGAGTTAGAGTTGTCTTTAGACTCAGTTCTGCAAATTCCAAGCTTCATCAAAGCACTCCTTAGTGTACCTGATTGTGTGTAAACAAATATTCCTGCTGGAATCTGTAGGATTGCTTTTGCCCTTGAACAAAACCAGATGCTAAGCTGCTCAGCTGAAGTGAGAGCCAGTTGCTGGCCCACCTGCAAGACCTGTTGTTTAATGGCCCATGCACTTGTTTGTCTATGAGGGAGATGATGGAAAAAATACACCTGAATTCAAAAATCTCTCTAATCCATTTTTACCCAATATTTAAATTAACTTTAGTATCACAAACTGTCCGATCTTGTGTATTTTTTAATCTTCCTTCCTTACCAGGAAAGTATTTAAGAAACACTGTGGTCCCTTCTGGATTTTGGCAGTGTTGCATTAGAGAGTCATTTCTTTTAGCATGGTGTGTGTAAATGGATGTGTATGTGTGTGCATGCATGCTTATGTAGAGACAGATCTGTGTTGCTATCTGAAATAATAGATGTGAGGGTTTTAACCTTGTAACTATTACGAGATCTTTATGTGTCTGCTTTAGGGTCGACCCTATCCCATATGACACTCCAAAACCAGCGGGCCACACGCGATTTGTCTGCGTCTCAGACACACACTCCAGAACAGATGGCATCCAGATGCCTTATGGGGACATCCTTCTCCACACAGGCGATTTCACCGAACTGGGACTGCCCTCAGAGGTTAAGAAGTTTAATGACTGGTTAGGTAAGGAATTACTGCGTTTTGGTGACCCCAATTAACCTCTCCTGTCCAAGTGTCAGTCACTGCCTCCTAATTGAATTAGAGCACTTGAAAATCTGCCCCTACCCTTGCTTCACTTGTTCTGATGTGATGTGCTGTTTCTAGCCTCAGTATGATTCTGTTAATTAAGACAAATTTAGAGACTTTGCTGTATTTCTGCATTATCTTGGGGGAAAAGATTCTGTCATTCCACAGCAAGGACTCCATAGCCTTCCATGGGTGCAGGGAGGGGTGGTGGCACCTCATGAGTGCCTACAGCATCATAGGAGTTGAAACTATGGGGTTTTATGTCCACAGCCAAAAATACTGCTCGCTGTATTTTTGGTTTACCATAATTGAAAGCAGTACTGAAAGTTACAACGTATTTGGAAGTGATGAAAGTCCTTCTTCCCACAATACAGCATAGCAAAATCAGTAATACTGTTTGGAAGAGGAGAACTTTTTGGGGGTGGTATTCACATGATTGCCCCTTTGAGTTAGAGTAACTGGCATTTTAAATTTGAATGCAAGCACTCAATGCTGCTTTGGTAGAACGCTGTTTGTATTCTGCTGTAGTTGACAGTGGTGCCTTGACAGCGTATGGCTACAGATGAAGGTAATTAAATTGTGACAGCAGAAGACCAAAATGAAGGAAAGGAACTTGTGCAGGATGCTTCTGTTGTAAATGCCACTGGTAGGCTGGCTGTGTACTACCGTGTCACCACCTGCCTTAGAAACAGTCAGAGGTGAAGGTGACTTGAGCAGCTGATTTTCAAAAAACATTAGAATGAATTTACAGCATTATGTAAAAACCTGTGCAACCATAGCTTTGTTATCATGCTTTGCTTCCATCACTGCACTCTCTCTTGCCTGCTGTATGATGGCCACATCTCTGCATGCCTTTAATAGCACCATTTTATTCGATTGGAGTTCCTTGGCTGACCCTTCAAGAGATAAGTTAAGAACATTTGGATTTACAAAAGGAATTTTTAAAGAGAAGAGCTTCCGTATTCTCTGTATTTTTAAACTTCTTTTGCGTTTTCTCCATATTGTTCTTTTTAATCTTCCCTCTGACTTCCTCTGATTTCCATAGCCCAATTTTAAATAATGTTTTTCTTTCTTTTTGTTGCTGTGCATGTGGGATTGAGGCTTCCAGATACTGCCATATTACTGTAATTAATTTTATAGGTCTTATTTCTGGAAAGTGGCACTAGATTTTATGGGCTCTAAACTATCCTTTTTCTAGGAATGTAATTTCAGGACTGGGAAATAAGAAGTGGTAGGAGAAGTGGGTGGATATGTATATAGGTTGAGGGAAGACACTTTTGAGCATTCTTTGTGATAACATGTAAATGTTAGTGTTGTGAAGGAGGAGGACCAAGCAAGGTAGGGGCAGTGGGAGGATGCACAGCTTCACTGGGAGTAGGCGGTGTGGTCCCACCAAGCTTCAGTCCCTACAGAGAAGCTGTGCCCCACTGCTGTTCAATGAGGTTCAGCTGTAACAGATGCCAGGCAGCTCGAGGAAAGGAATCACTTTCTGGAGAGCACAGACCTCCAAAGTCTACCCTGAATATGCTGCGAAGAGCAGTGTCTGGCTGCCAAAGTTCCTCTTTGGACTTTGGGTCATTTCACAAGTATTATTTTGATACAGCCAGAGCCCATGCCCTGAGCCTGGCATTTGAAATCGCTAACTCAGTACTGCTGAAAGCCAAAACAAGTAAGCTGCTAGTGCTAGTGTGTTTTCACCCTTTTGTGTGGAATCTTACAGTATTGGCAGCCACTTGGCAATCCTTGTATTTAACAGGTGTTTCATAATGATGTTATTTTATCACGTAGATCCTTGGTTTAAAATTTGCAACAGAATTATTACCCTTTGAATAGGGTTTGTTCCAGCCTCAATAATTGACCATGGGGCTTTCTCAGCATATATATCATTGTTGTAGAAGTCAGTATAGTATTTATCTGAGACAGCAGGTTTTGCATTCTTTGGCAGTTGGTGTCATTGAAACTGGAAGCTTTGACAGTGTGAGAACCTACGGGCTTTGTCCTCAGGCTTTCATATTCCAGGTACAGAGAAAACTTCTTTTGTTATTTCATTTTTATTTTTTTTTCCTTCTCCCATTCACAGGGTCCACTTGCATTTTCATATATATATGACAAAACCATTATTAGGATTCTAGCATAAGGTGAGGCAGCAAACTGATTCCCCTGTGGAATCTTGTCACATTGGTGAACACTTTCTCCGGGGCTGTCCTCTCCTAATCTGGAATTAAAACACTGTGAAGTCAGGCATGCCCTTTTGCCACTTTCAGACTTATATCTGCAAAATGGGAGTAATTATATTTTACTGTTTACTGTGCATATAGTGAAGATTAATACCTTCATGTTTGCGAGGTGATGACATTTAACAGTTTGAAAAATAGGTATCGGTGGCAGGCAGGAACAAGCAGGATTTTTCTTCTACCACATAGTGGGAGGCATCTTTTTTCATCATAGTTGGTAGGAACCTTCTTCCAAAGCAGTGCACTGAGAACTCCCATCAAATACAGCGTTGTCCTTATAGAAAGGGGGTTTCATATCTTTTGTGTGCAGGGTTTTCTCCACTGGCAATTGTGTTGTAAAGCAGTAATGAAGACAAGGCATTTGTATCGTTTATACCTTGAGGGAGAGAAGCGAGATCAAAGCTAGGCTTCATTCTGCAGCTTATTTTACCTACCCTGTGGTAAAACAACAGGGCCTCATCTGCACTAGGATTATATAATGGGATAACTAAAACACACTAACTATCCATAATTTTCTTGGCAGTAAAGCCAAGGGAAAAGTTAAAACATTATTATTCTGAAGCCCTGCCTCACTTGTACTTCCCTGGGTGTTTTGTATGCCAGGATTACACAAGACTGAAAACACTTCTGTCAACCCTACAATTTTATATTTTGTGGGTATTGCATCCCTTTGCAACTCTTGGGATATCTCACCTGAGGAAAATGTTCAGCATCTATTTCATTAACAAATCATTTTCATTCATTTTCATTCCTTCTGCCTCATCTCTGCAGCCAAATCATGGGACATGCTTTCCACAGCCTCTTTCCTGCTCTTCTCAGCTCTCAGCTCTTCCTGCAACTTTTACTAATTCTTATGCTTTTTTTCCCTTTGGCTGATACATTTTCATTATTGGTTTTGCATGGAAGTCGTCTGGGTTCATACACTGAATAACCTCTGTGGTCACTTAGTGATTACATACACTGGCTGAGGTAATTTATTCACTTTTGTTTTGGTGTGAACATGTCCCTTGGGTCTTGTAACTGCTGTAATCACTTGACCTTAGTGACTGTTAAATGCTTTAAACACAGTTATTTTAAATTTATAATTGTTTTCATTAAAAATCTCTTATAGTAACTTAACTGACCTTGCAGTAAACACAGCATTATGTGCTGAGGAAGAATTAAGATGTTATTCTATGCCCAGTATATTTCTTTCTGAATGTTTCAATGTCCTGTTGCTATCACTGTTCATATTTTTCCCATCCATTCTCATTCAGTCATATATGGGAAATGAACTACAGGAATATCTAATTATAGCTCTGTCTTCATAGTGCAATATTTCCTTTCCTGCGTGATGGGAAGTGATTGAATAACTCATAAGAGTTGAAGAGAAAGCAAAGATAAATTCAGGCAGATAGCTCTTTAATGAGTGACAATATGTTTATTGTGCTCAATTAGTATGGGCCTGATTGTGCATATCCTTACTTGTGTGAATAATTTGCATCTGGTTTAGTAATTTTTCTCAAATAGACACTTTTTTTTCTAGTGGTTATCTCTTACTGTCTTCATTTCATTTTTTTTCTATTATTTTTTTTTCCCCTCATGCAAGATTTCCAATATAAGGCACGTTACTGGACAAACTAGGCAAAATTCTGCAGTGGTGGATATCAGTAAATCCATTAGGTGAAATTACTGCTGGTTGATGTCTGTGGAGCTGAGGGTTGAATTTGGGTAGTTTTTTTGAGTTGTTCTGGGCTTTAGCAACTTGACTGTTCATGTTTTTTCTTTCATGTCTTGCTTTTGTTTTGAATGCATGTTTCTTTTAATTTCTGTGGGATAATGAATTGAAGAACTCTGTGAATGGTTTAGTGGCCAAATACATATGGGTTTGTACTGAAAAAAATATTTCTTTACTTGTAATATATCCTTGCCTTTAGTGTAAACACTGTTGATAGAGCTAAAATAAAAATTCAGCCTTTTCTTCTGTGGTGTAGTTCCTCCATCATGTTATTTAAAATGAGAAGGAAAGAATAATTGTACTGTTTTAATGTGGAGGTTTTCTTGTTACACTCTTCATATGTGGATGTGGTCCCCAGAAACATATTATCAGTTCTTTTAAAGTTCAGTTTTGTATGAATGTTTAGTTATTGAAAATAGCAGCTTTAGCCTGGAATTGCTGGCTGTTATGGGGAACAGATGACAAAATGGGAAGAGCACTGGAAATGTGCTGTTGCTCTCAGAGATGTGGACAGACGCGTGGTTCCAGTCTGTGCTTAGATTTCTGTGTTACTTTGTAGAAACTTGAAATTATATTCAAAACTCTAAGCCAGGCACCTGCCAAAATAGTGTTTGATCTTGAAGACAGGCTAATTTAATCTGAAAAAAAATGAACTGTAACAAAATAGTATAATAGTAAGATCAAGCTCCTTTCTTATCACTGTTTAAAAATAATAATTAGGGTCACATTCCTCTTGTATTTTCTCAGTCTCTCTGGTCTGACTCAGTTATTCCCTCATTTTGTCTAGGTTTCATCTCCTGTCTGGGCATATTTCATTTAGAGTTTTGTGTGTGTTCCTTTTGCTAATGTACACCGAAACCAGTTTCATTGTGATGAAGTATTTGTTCTTGTGAACTTTTGCTCCGTAGAAGTATATTTCTGATGTGAATTATTTTAGCGTCTGACATGGCACTTTTTTATAAAAACAGACCAATAAGCTCTAAATT